AATCTGTTTGAATCAGCAAACAGAACAAGCAAGCCGATTGAACGAGATCGTTTTATTGTGCGCGAAGCTCGATCCAACAAGTTGTAACGATGCGCAGTGTAGAGTTTTGATCGGCTTGAGCGTTGTTGATTGAACCGGACCGATCATACTCAATGCCGTTCTCTGATCCACACGCATATTCTGAAGAAAAAATGACTCGCGCCGGACTCTCACTTTAGCAGAAACTGGAGCGGATATACAAGAACATGCTCTACGAGTATCAGTATCTTCCTCCGCCAAGACTTGAAAACGTTGACCTCACACAACTATAAGTCAACTTTGAAGTTGTCCGCAGCCACGGAGGCCGAGGATACTCGACAGACAGATCCGACACCGAGAACTCTTCAAATAACTACGTTCAGGCAGCCCGAACGAATTCAGGTAACGCACCGCCCGTCGCACAACAGACGCCACAGTCTGCCCGAACTCACCGGGGAAACAGAACCAAGGACCAACCACGACCTGCTGAAACTGTGGCCGGGCTGGTCACTATGCCACGGAGGGCTTGGAACGAGAACCTTTTTCAGCTAGGAATGCGGCGGACAGGACTGAGGACTATTAACTGCTGCCGGAATCAATCGACGGGAAAGGGGCAAGGGCCTAGAGTATCATGGAGTTAACCGAGAAACCCACCGAACTCCCAGATTCAATAACTCACGACATCCAACAGGATTATATATTCACACAATAACCGGGTCACGGTGTGGGAACGAACGAAGCGAAGAACTGCCGACAACCAGAAAAAGCCGCACAACGCGTAGTAGAATCAGGAGAATTTAGGTCACAGTTCGATTGGTCGAAACATGATCAGTATATCTAACTACATGATACCTAGAACTTGCCCGGATGTCAAAACAACAACATTCACGGGACCTGAAGACTGGAAAAGGGTTCAGGGCCACGCTCGACACCTCAATATTTTCACTGACGGCTCCAAGATGAAAGGAGTTGGAGCGGGCATATACTGTACAGACCCCGAGATGAGGCTGTCGTATAAGCTACCAAGAAAATGCAGCATATTCCAGGTGGACAAAAGATCGCCCATATGAGGCGGTAAGCCTGTTTGTAGACAGTCAAGCGGAGATTAGATCCATGCAATCGTCAGCAGTCAGTTCCAAAAGTGCACTGGCAAGCAGGGACGCACTAGATATCCGATATCCTAAGAACGACAACGTCAGTGCGGATCTATTGTATTCCCAGCCACCAGGGCATTGATGGCAACAAAACCTCAGACGAACTTGCAAAGGAAGGAGGAAGGAAAAAAGGAACGATAGAATATAAAACGTCCGTATCTCTAAGAACGCTCCAAAGCGAGTTGGAGAGCGGGCGGACGCCCAAGCAAAAAGCAAATTCCGCAACCTGCAAAACATAAAAAACCATGTACAAAGAGCGCAATGATACACTCAGCCACTACGTACTATACTATCCCGAGAAGATTGAAGACTGTAGGTGAGAATTCTTATAGGCCGCGCATGCAGCCAAGCTGTGCATCACCAAGAACGGCAACTGCATTAAATGCGATGAATCTGAGGCAACCTAAACATTGAAGCATCTTATCTGTAAATGCCCAGCCCTAATGCAGGCAAGAGTAAAACACCTAGGTGCCCCTGTACTAGCATCACTAGCAGATGCCTCCAAAAGGACGCCAGGTGAACTATTTGTCTTCGCAAAAACTACCGCGATCCTTAAGGACTTCAACGCCGCGTAACATTCTTCAGGTCCATGTGATAACAACATCCGAATAAATAAGGGCCATACTAGCCTATGCTTGGCCCCCTCAGGGGGGCCGCTCGGTTCAACCTAACTCACCTTGTTCACGTCAGAAGGCCCTTCGCGGCGGCCGCGGCGCCGCCTCTGTCCACCGAGCCTACAAAGCTTAGGCCGCTCTTGCACACCCGCTAGTCGGCTCTTCGCGCACTGCTCATCGGGCTAGTCTAAGCGCTCCCGCGCCCACTCTTTGATGTTCGCGAACGCCCGCTCCCGAGTTCCCGAGCTTCGCTCGCTGCTAAGCGAGCTGAGGGACAGCTAGTTCGCGCTCCACTTCTCGGGCCCGCTCTCGCACTGTTAAGCGTAGCTTATCGGTCGGGAGCGCAGCCCTTACATTTAAGCTATTTTAGTACCATGTATGCAGCGCAATAAAGCTGATGATTTTCTAATTGCCCACGACGCCCCCGCCTTACTCTTCACCTTCGCTTGCGACGTGGGAATTTCCATTGGGCTACATTTCCAATACAGGATCTTCGGCGGCAGGATCGCCCCCCTCCATTTCATGGTCCTTCGAGCCGGATACGGATATCCTTCCGTCCTTTCACCAGCAGTTCCCGGTGATTTTTCCGCTGAGATAAGTATATGCTTGATTCCGTCTTGTTCTCGCTGCCGGTCTTAGAACATTTAATTTCGGTCGCACCGCTGCAAAATTTATTGTTTTGTTCGTGTCAACTCCCCGTCCGAGTTTTCCTGACACCACGGCAGTGAGAAATCCCACTTTCTATTCGCCTCCGAAATTCGAAATTTTCCATCCGTGTCCGTTTTGTGTGTGCCGCCATCCTCATCGCCGTCTCTTCGATTCCCCGTTGTTCAACCACTTGCCAACGGTCGAGGCCTATGTGCAGCCACATACACACACACGCATTCTAAACTTGTGCTAATATTTTCGTACAAAAAAAGTTCTCCGTGAACAGTGAAATTGTGTTTCAAAAAGAAAGGCATTATTAATATTGGCCAGCCGGTGTGTGCTTGTTGCGGGAATTCCCCCTGCTCGCCGAACAGTCCGCCGCTTCCACGATTTTTCGCTAATTTTTGTGCTGTATCCATACACATTTTTTCTGTTCGCACAATTCAATACAGTCCACTTCTCGACGCTCCACTGTGCTAATACAAGCCCTACCCTACCCTATCGCCATCGATATTGCGTTGAGGAAGTTTATTGCCACGACAGACCGTGTGAGTCAATTCGAGGCAAAGATCCAACCTCTAGACGCCCCAGAAACCACCCAGCCTTCTCCATCCACGTGTAAAGTGCGTCGCGATCAGATTCAAGCACTGTGGGAAAAGGTCGAAAGGGATTACGATATTTGTTCTGATCTTATATCGGCATCCGGGAAGAGTAACACCATCGGGCTAACGCTCCAGTCCAGATATGAGCATTGTTTCTCGGTCTACGAAAGATGTAGTGCCGACCTCCAAGAGCTGATGGAAAAGGGCGCTTTTCAGTCCGTGCCGATTTCCCCAAACTCATCCGTCCCGGAGTCGGCTGGTTGTCGCCTGCCACCGGTGGACACCGAAACTTTCGCTGGTGACTGTCTTCGGTGGCCCACATTCAGAGACCTTTTTACGGCGGTTTATATTCACAGCGTCTTACCCCGGTGGAGAAATTGTTCCACCTACTATCGAAGACAACTGGCGAAGCGCACGCCATTGTTTCCAAAGCCCCGCTTACCAATGAGGGGTTCGTCGCAGCTTGGCAAAGCCTCACCGACCGCTTCGAGAACCGGCGGTTGTTGGTCAACAGCCAGTTGAAAATCCTTTTCAACATCCAGGCTATCCCCCAAGAGTCCGGCAGCGCGCTAAGGGAGCTGCAAGGCACTATCCAGAGTTGTCTAGCGGCATTAGAGATGACCGCCATCCAAGTCCAAGCCTGGGACTGCCTCTTGGTGTACATGGTTTCCTCGAAGCTCCCCAAGCTCACGCTCTCCAAGTGGGAGCAATCTATCCACAATAAGGACAAAATTCCAACTTGGAACGAGCTAGACGCGTTTCTGACTGAACGCCATCGTACGCTGGAGGCCATCGACGACGTTACGCCTACCAACTCAAGGCATTTTCCGCCAAAATTGTGGACTCCGAGGGCCCCAGCGCCCCGGCTTCATTCTTCCGACTTCAGAGTGACTCCAACAACCAGACCCAGAAGGTGTGACCTATGTTCCAGGGAAAACCACCCCCTGCGAAGATGTCCCCGTTTCCTTAAAATGACCGTACATTTTTATTCCAGTCCGCTTCGAGAAGATGCCACCGCTTCGCACCACGGGAAACGCTCTGATCAGAGGTCCAATCCAACCGATTCCGAGGTTGCCACCGAACTTCATCCGCTACCGACGTCGACGTCTCCTCTACGATCCTGGGCCTCTCCCCCGCCCTCCTCAGCCACTCCACGGCCTCCGTCCACCGCTGTGCGGATAGGCAATTTCCGCCGCTAGCCAGGACACCCTGCAGAACGCGGCAGTGCTTATACAGGACGAATATGTTGCAACCCGAGTTATTGCAAGGGGGGAGAATGTTCACGTCAGAAGGCCCTTCGCGGCGGCCGCGGCGCCGCCTCTGTCCACCGAGCCTACAAAGCTTAGGCCGCTCTTGCACTCCCGCTAGTCGGCTCTTCGCGCACTGCTCATCGGGCTAGTCTAAGCGCTCCCGCGCCCACTCTTCGATGTTCGCGAACGCCCGCTCCCGAGTTCCCGAGCTTCGCTCGCTGCTAAGCGAGCTGAGGGACAGCTAGTTCGCGCTCCACTTCTCGGGCCCGCTCTCGCACTGTTAAGCGTAGCTTATCGGTCGGGAGCGCAGCCCTTACATTTAAGCTATTTTAGTACCATGTATGCAGCGCAATAAAGCTGATGATTTTCTAATTGCCCACGACGCCCCCGCCTTACTCTTCACCTTCGCTTGCGACGTGGGAATTTCCATTGGGCTACATTTCCAATACAGGATCTTCAGCGGCAGGATCGCCCCCCTCCATTTCACACCTTAAAAAGAGACTATTCAAGACAAAGCTTTAATTTTTTCAAGCTCAAACATCAATCATCAAACAACCTTCGGCAATATTTCCGTAACTTCGTAATTGATTTATTTTAGAAGTATGAGTTACAATTTTAATAAAACAAAAAGGTACTGTTTATTAATTTTTTGTAAAACCCTTTAATTTAAGAAAATAAATCTAAACTTTAAAAATGATAGTAGCACATTAATAGTAAATGTATTCACAATTATTGTTTTATGGAAAAAAATTATTGTTGTTCACACATATTTATCTTAGTTATCATTGTTATCATTGATTATATAAATGAGTTTAACTTAAAAATACATCACATATATGTATGTACACAAAATTTTACATTTAGTTTATGAAACATCTTTATAATGATGAAGGGCTAAATTAATATGTTTTAATTATATTAATTATTTATATGGTTGAAATTTATGAAACCTCAACCATTAAACTCACTTTGGGGTGAATTTGTTGGAATCGTGATATAAAGCCAAGGTTCCAAGTAAGACAAACAGCTGTTTTTCAGCTTATACCTGCCGCTAGATACTGATTTTTGTAATAATATGCACAAAACCCTACTACAATGGAAACAGCAGTTGTTACTAGTACCGACTTTGTGGTTAACACATTTGGGAGCCATTGACTTAAGCTCAAACTTCTGCTTGCTGTGTCACGCTGGGAAATCTTTCTTCGCCGCTCCAAGATAAGTTTTTCTTCTGCTTGCCGCTTCTCGATCCTATTGAAATAATACAAAAATTTAGTCATAAAGTTTTCGAATAAAAGTAACAAGAGCCCATATTTTTTAACAATAATTAATAATTAAATTTATAATGGTTTCCAACAACCAATAAAAACAACAACCAACACATTTTTGTACGCATAGTCTTCTTGGCAAGTTTATAGCTTATATATGAATGTAATATATGTATATAATATATGTATATATATTATAGATGTATGTAACATATGTTATAAGGGCCGAAAAATTTTTAAGGATCTGTTTATTATTTATACACCTTTAAAGGGTATTGAAATATTAATCAAAAGTTTTCCACGCAGTGAAGAAAACCCTATAAAAGATTCAAAGATTCGTCCGTCTTTTCAATGCAAACTATTCTCTAAGTTACATTAACATTTAAAACTGACTTCATTCTATTGCATGTAGTATTTACGTCGGAAAGGGTAGAATCGTATGACTATATCATGTGTCTGCCAAGGAAACAATCAGGAAATAAATAGAAAAAATTATAGCTTTTTTGTTTTCAACATATTTACATAAAATCGGAGGGTGTTATAATTTTGATCATAATATTACGACTTGATAATATATATATTTTTAATCAGTATTAACAAGAACAACTATAAATGTTCAATACTTATTATTTCGGACGGACTTTGCCTAGTCCTTTAATCAGTTATTATGTAAAGGGCAGCACCCTAAGATTCTATACTTACTCGTTTCGGATAAGTTCATCAACATCTTTCTCTATTTTAGCTAAGCTGTACTTATTAAAAAGTTTACTAGAAGTTTTTAACAGCTCCTCAAATGGTAAGTTTTCTGGAAGCTAGAAACATTTTGATTTACGGCTTAATAATATATTTATTTGGTTAGAAATCACATACCCTTGATAGGAGGCAATGCACGGATGCCATATCGCACTCCTCCTTCAATATTTCACTTGACCGATATAGTAAAATAGCAGCAGTTACGAAGATAGGTGTGTAAATGGGAGATGCTAGAAAGTAGTCATATAAACGGACAACAGATTTGTATGAATTTAAACTATGACCAAACCAGGTCAAATACCATGGCAAAGCAAACAAAGTGCCCACCGCAGACTTTTGCAAAAATGTAAAAAGTTCTGGATTTTCAAACTTAATGACAGGCCAGATAAACATAAGGCGTCTTTGCGTGGCTTCCATTGTTTCTTGCATGCATTCAGAAAAATGTGTTGTAGACAGTTGCTCCATTATAGCATAAGCCACTTCTTCGCCTGCAACTAACAAAAATGTAACCGCGACATCATGATAGCCTTGGTAGTACCGCAAATTAGGATATTTTTTAATTACACGTAGTATAAGTACAGTAAGTTGATCTTGAAGGGCAATTCGTTGTTCATACGGAATACCAGGGGGAAATCGTTTCAATGACCGATTTACATCTAGTACAACCTGATTGTATTCAGGATGATTTTGCAAATCATCGAGAGAAGGAGCTCTCTCTAATCTGTTAATATCGACCCCTACTAACTGAGGCCATAAAACCCTTCGTATGTTATCATTTACCAAACCGTGGGGTGTCAAGGACAGTTTTATAAGTACATCAAGAGCTATGTGTTGGTTAACATTTTGTGTAATTATTTCCTCTATCGCCAACCGTTTTCTCAGCTCACTATCACTTTCGGGCGCTGTTTAATTAAAACGTTTGAATCATTATTATATATTGATAAGTGTGTCCACAATTTTTTTGACAAACCATTTTCAAACTTAAGGGGTGGCTGATCGAATTTAGTCCCAGCATTGCTCATTTTTTAATACAGAAACTTGTTTTTGGGTTTACCTTAAACACCGTTCACAAATTTAATACAAAGTTCTAAGTACAATTTAAATAAGCCAGAGCAATTCTTGTGAAATATGAAAATATTATTTCAATAACATATTTTTTAATATGTACTTTCTGCATCGATATATCGATAGATAATATAACAACTAAATAGTCTGTTCTTACTTATGATAATATTAAAAGTACATATGTGTGTGAAATAGTTGGGAATTTTGCAGATGTAAAACTTCGTGGCTTCTGCGGAATAAGTTAACACCTATCGGAAGTTTAACAACACAAAATATGGGCAATTCTCTGGTGTCGAATGCGACATTCGTACGCATTCAAACTAAAAAAACACATGTGCCAAGACTTTATTTTAATTTTATAAAAACTGAAACGTACAGCTCTTGGTTAGCACTATAATTGGTGCTAAGATCGATTTTGAACCATTGTTTGTTTTAAAGATATTCACTAAAATGTACTGCGTTCGCACGCGACAAAAATAGAAGTTACATTAGCAAGAAACCAGTTTAAGCTCTGATTTCAGCGAAACGTGATAAAAAATTGTAGTACAATAAATTTAAATGAATTACGCAATGAATTGTCTTAATAATGTATTTTGTTTGATTTTAAAATATTAAGTAGTTATTTTTTAAATTCAATTTTAGTCCCGATCGCACGCGACAGTTTGGAAAGCGATAATTCAAACTAAAACTGTACGAATATTGATGATCGCATATGTATGTTCTTTTCTACTTAATATTGACTCTTTGGGTTTTCTATGTGATATAAGAAAGCAAAAGTCAAAGCAAAATGGTTCGGTTTAAGAGATGGGCATCAAAACAAAACATGCCATTTTTATGACTTCTTTTGATAAGAACAACATTATTTGAATTTGCGAGTGTTTGACATAGATTTTTTTGAAACTTATTTTAGAAAATGAAAATTCTCTTAGTCTTGATCATCCTGACCAATTTTTTTTAAATCATGTTAAAAATACTCGTTTTTAAGCAATTTTAAGTTTTTGGCCGCGGTGGACCTTTCTGGAGAATTGCCCATATGCAGATTGCAAATAACAATATTAGCACAATACTTAAATGAATAAGATAACTTGGAATTGTAAAGTTTTTCATGAAGGGGTACCAATTCGAGACAATGAACCGCAAAAGACCGAAGAAATTTTTCTGAAAAAATTTTAATTTTAGTTTAATCTGAGTTTAAATGTTCGTTTCGAATGCCCAACAATTCACTAAAATTAAGAAGAATTAAGAGTCGCACCGAAAAACTATAGCCGAACTATCTTTAATCAGACTCGGATGCACATCGGCTGAAGAACAAAATGAGAAATGTTGGAACGGCAAAACCTTATGGACCATCCGCTCAACGGATGGAGGAAGGCAGATAGACCTCTGTGGGAAGACATAGTTAGGTAACATACGAATGACGACTATGAATTCGGCCGCAATACATAAAGGGGATTCCCTATCCGACTAAATTACTAAAAATATCAGCAGCTGACAACAGCTGTTCCCATACAAACTGCTTATATTTTATTTTAATATCATATTCAATATCTACTGAAAATCCAGTGTCGACGATCGAATCGGTATATTTAGAGTCACCAAATACCTAATGGATTTTAAGTCAGAGTGTGTACGGGCATATATTTAAAGCTTTTAGAATAGCTATTAGAATTAACTGCCATAATTGGGCTTTTTTATTGTTGTGCATAATTAGGGAATACACTAAGGTGAACGGTAGTTAATACGAAACTCTGATAGGAGGTTAGGTTTACGTGATTTTAGAACAAAATGTGCTGCTTTTCTACATATATCACCATAATCGGCGTAGGGTCAGAAGTCTTCCCTCGTTGGAGACAGCCAGTGTGGCTTTTCCTTTTTGAACCTTGAAATTAAATTGAAAATTATAATTATTAACGGTAACACGATTTATTTTGTAGAACAATTGAACCAATTTCATCTGGAAAGAAGAAATGCTATATTGGACACATATTAATTGATTACTTACACGCAATTGTTGGTCAGAGCATTTGCAATTAAAAAATATTATTATCATTAATAAGGTCAGGAATGAGTTTAAAAAGTTTACCACTTCCCTCTTGGTCTTTACCAAAAATTGACAGAACTTCATTTTCTTTTAATTTTATACACTTTGACCATTGAAATCTTGAAAACAGCTTTTTAACCATATAGACGCTGAATGAAAAAAATATCTCCGATATTTTCAGCAATGAAGTCAGCCTTGATTTGAATCGCTTATACATTTGAAATAAACCTTGGAAATAATTAATTACGAATTAACTTAAATTAAGCGGGTTATGATAAGACAATGCTCTTTCGGAAATTGTTCAGTAAATTTTTCAAACTATGTCAAAACTATGTCGAGCAGGGATGGTCTTATGCATGGTCCCCAGTTCAGCAATGTGGCAAGCGCGCTATTCAGTACCTGAATCGAACCCTGCTCTGTGCTGAGATATTTAACTTTTGGAATATTTTTTTTTAACACGAAATGCGCCTTTAAAAAAAAAGAAAATCCCAGCAATTATTTTACGTTTTTCTTTATCAAACTACGTAGAATTTTGTTTTGGCCACTTTAGGCACAGCTGTTCCACCCAATAACTATCGATAGAATTTAATTGATAGATCCACATAGGGGTGTTATACGATCAGCTCAGGGATGCCACCCTGCCCCAAAAGCAGATCGGTAGCATGCAGCACCTTATGGGGGCAAAGGTTCTTGACCTGGAATGGTTCGACACTGAAAAGGTGAAAAGGAACCGAACCACAAGGGGATAGAGCGGTTAATTGGTTCAAAGCTACATGAGCGGGCGGTTCACAAAGTTTGAAATAAGAATTGAATTTTGAAAAAGAAAAGGAAAGAACTCTGTGCGCGTGCACTCAACAGGAAAGAACGTTGAGTGGTGAATTAAATTTGTTGAAAAGCTGAGGAAGGAGGATCAGCGAGGACGGGAAGACAGCTCGAGAAGACTCAAAAGGTGAGTGGTCGTGGTCCGGAGGTGAAGCCCTAATATCATGGCTCACACTTATATAAGACCTGGAAACTTAAACATAACCCCGAGTCTCGGCCTGCTTCTGAAGCCATTAATCCCTTGGTTATCATTTTATTTTATTTATTTATTCCATATATGTCCAAAATACTTCAGTCGGTGCTGCAGTGAAGCTGTTTTTTTTTGGTGCAAACTTTTTGGTTATATATTGTATTTTGCGTTGTCGTCTATATATTCCCTGCGACCCCCTTGAGAGCTCTTACGGATAGGAAGGTTCTGAAATGTGTTAGAGGGAATTGAGTAAATTAAAGAAAATTTGTGAAGAAATCGAGACTAAAAATCTGCAAAAGAAGAAGCAATTTAAAGGTGAAGTAACCTGCACATCAATTAAGTAGAGGATAATGCTTGTAAAATAAATAAAGATAATGTTGTCTCTGTTTCCGCGTGTTTGATACAAACCGCGCGGTGTATGTATGTATGTCGAGTATCGATGAAATTTGTTGTTGTGTGTGGCGGGTAGAATTAGGGGATCCATGGCCCGAAGAGAGAGAGAGCTATCCGGTGCCAGCCCAAATGCCACGCATGTCCTTTAGAAGGGAAATAACAATATGGCGCTCAATTTGCAAAACGACAGCACTATATCCTGCTGAGGATATAAAGCAAGAGTATTTTTAGTTAATGGGGCTGGATAAGAGCGGGCAATCGCTCAAGAGGTCTCTCGCCAGAAAGAAGGACCCACTAATTACAAATATAGAAGTGGCCACCGAGATGTTTCACTTTTGGGATTTGGTCTGGAACGACATCAGCGGCTGATAAGAAGCTGATTTGCGAACTGTGATATAGGGAACAATTTTACCATATGTGATTTTAACCTGTGATATAGCCTTGGCATTATGCGATCAGCGGAAAAGAGGGCAAATCAACTACGACATTAAAAGGAGGTTAGAAAAAAATATGTTTAATAAGCGCAGAAGGAAAATTAGGTAAAGATAATTAGTAGCGAAACATTGAAGCTTGCTTAATAAAATATAGTAGACAGGGCTTAATTTATTTTAAATTAATAGAAAAAAAGGCAAATAGAGATAGGAACTTAATTAAAGTTACTAACTGTTTTTTCCGATAATCGGAAAGTCTTGCGACATCTGACGATCCAAGGTGACGGTTCTTGAGCCTTTGGAAGCGATCAGATCAAGAAGATTACCCCGGCTGCCAAGCGTAGAGTAGGGAGTGGCATATTTTAAGACGCAGGATGAGTACGTCTGAAAGCAAACAAATTAATTCAATTAAAAAATTAAAAATTAAAAATTAATTATGTTTTCTGGCGTCCTTAACTACAAGTCATCAATCCAATTGATGATTTACGCTAGTTGACGAGCCGGGCGAAAGTGTTTGTTTATTTTGGTAATAGTTCTTTACTCACACACATATAGATGGCATGAGGATCAATAAGGGCAGCACATACACCATTCACGACCCGGGAAACTTCTTTCTCTTAATTCGTGTAGTTTCGTAGCAATTTGTTTGGGAAATCCGTCGAGTTTTTATTAGTTGTGTTTTTTTTTTTGTTTTTGTGGCCGCACTTATTTTGATTATTTATTGCTTATTTGGATCAATTAATTAATTTACCACCAGTGACTAGGCATATTCCCGTAAAAATGGCTGATCACAGTAATGCGGAGGAAGGGAATGGAGAAAAGGGTGCTGAAGGGAAATCATCTTTCATCTTTCCAAGTGAACGGACGTGTTTTTTTCTTGCGCTCTCGTTTTGTATTAAAATTTGAATCTAACCACCGGGGTGAACTTAAATTTTCTAATTTGTGTTTATAACTTCCCGTTCACTTTGCGTGTGCAGGCAGCTATTCTAATTTGTGTATATAAGTGGTTTTATTTTTCAATTTAGTTGTGCTGCTAGTGCTAGCTTTAGCATATTTTGCATTCCTTTTGTGCCTTCTTCGTCTAGCTTTTGTTTGCGCCGTCGCAACAGCTAAACGTTTTATCTACCTATCTCCCACGCTCTCTCACTCTCTCGCTTTAGCTGTGCTACTGCACTTCTTATTTCATCTGATCTCATTCGC